TCAGTCCTAGTGTCACTCCTTCTAAGTCATCTAATAAGATCTTATGTTTTATCATCCTGGATTACACTGTGGTTTCAGCTGTTGCAATACCCATGCTAAGGTAGGTCACCACCATCAGTCCCAACAACAGTAATAACATTACAGAGCACCTTTCATCTTCGGCTCCCAAATCGCTTTATAAGTAGCAATTACGTCTCAAAACCTCTCTATGCTAGTATTAATAGGTCCATTTAACAGATGGAAAACTGAGCCATATTCTTGTTTAATTCATAAACCGAAGCATTCTCATTTTAAATCAGTAGACTTTTCTACACAAATAATTATTATGCAGGCAAGTACCTAAGGTTGAACTTAATGAATGAGAATTTCTAGATATGGTATATAGAGAGAATATATATATGTAATGACTATAGGTTTATGGAGCTATGTGCGGTGTCTGTGAATGTGTGTGGGTGTCTATGGGGAGTGTGGGTATGATTAAAAGTGCATTTAGTCTGTGGGAAAAATGAATATGAATATGCTGTGTGAGAATAAAATTGTGCTCTGTAGATACTTGTTTTCCTTTTGTAGTTGTATTTGTTTGTTTTGTTTTGTTTTGTTGTTTTATTTTGTTTTTTGAGACAGAGTTTCTCTGTGTAGCCCTGGCAGTCCTGGAACTCACTTTATTGATTAGACTGGCCTTGAACTCACAGAGATCTGCCTGCCTCTGCCTCCTGAGTTTTGGATTTAAAGACTTGCACCACAACACTTAGCCTTCCCCCAACCTTTTTTTCTCCTAATTTGGTTATACATTAATATCCTTTAACTCTGTTTAGCACATATGGCATGCCCTTGATTTGCCTTTATTTACTTGCTGATTTCTTTCACATTCTCCAGCATTTCTTTCTTTTCCAATCAAATCAGATTGCTTTCCTCTAATATTCACTTTTGATCTCGTGCCTTCCATTCAGTACCGTGTGTCCTTTGCATAATTGACTCTCTACATGCCAACACTGCCCACATCTGTTTATACAGCTTACTTCTTTCCCCCAAATGGCTCTACCAGTTTATCTGCATTTCTCTCTATTTAGGTATCACAACACTACCTTAAAGTTAGCTTTCCTTAGACTACACTAATCTGTTTAGCCACTCCTTCTCCCCAAGACCTAAGCCTGTTTTTCCCCATATTACCATTCTTAGCAGATATCCAGAAGTTGAATGGACTTACCTTCAATCCCCCTATTCTCTTATCTTCTATAGACAAACATCTAGTCCAACTTTCAAGGTAAAATTCTGTTTCTAATTTCTTCTAGCTCTTGACATTTCCTAAAGTCTCACCATACCCTTAGAAAAGACCATAATTATCTTTTTTTTTTTTGGTATCATGATGTGAATCTTCTACTACACACTCAAGATTGATATCAGAGTGAGTTTTGTAAAACAGCAACTTGATCATGTCTCTCTGCATACAGACCTTTGATGACCCTGTTATTATCAGAACTAAGCCCAAACTTTATAAGATTTTCAAGACCCTGCATGATCTAACTGCACACTATAATCATCATTTATTATTCTCCTTTTCAAATCTATCAGCCATAATTATATTTATAAAATATATAATTTCCATTTCCTTGAACTTTCATATTTTCCTTCTATTTTTTCCTTCCTCCTCCTCCTTTTCTTTCCCCTTCTTCTTGTCCTCCTCCTTTTCTATTTCTTTGTCTTCTTCTGCCCTAAAGAAAATCTCCCACTGTGCAGAAAACTTGCCTTGTTCTATGTGTTCACTGTTTGTGTGTTCTCTGAGCTCACTCCGTCATTTACCACACTGCATCATCTTTACTTAAATGGTATTTTTTTTAGATGGTACAGATTTTAAGTTGGAGAACATAGAAATGGGGATTGTTCTTGGAAGCTTCTTCCCTCAGGGATGGCACTGTTCCAACACACAAAAGATGCTTTGTAAACATTTATTGAATAGTTGACTAAATCAATGAGCAACCACATGTATAAGCCAATTGGGTCACTATTTTAGGGAAAGCTTGTAAGAATAAAGAAGACCTAAGGAAAATATATCAAACCAAGGCTGCTCTAAATGAACTGTTTAAATAATCCGAGAGTAATTGTTCATTTTGTCTAAACAACATATTTTAGTTGTGAAAAAAATCATATATCCTTCAATTTCCTACTATATGCCAGGTGTGAATGTAAAGTGAGGCAGATTTCCTCGGTGGTTATGCAAATAACCTGAAATTTGGAGGCCTGAATGTCAATACCTGCATGGGAGATGACACCTCTCCATGTGAGATGGATGGAACTTATTGGAATGTTGGGAACATCTACAGGTACAAGCTTAGAAATTAGGCCCAAATGACTCATCATCATTGTCTGTAGGGCAATTAACGCCTATCTTTAAGAGTTATTTCCTGTTGATTACCTGGGCCATATTTAGGTCTGGAAGTTTATCAGAGGATGAATCTGGGAGGAAAATGAGGCTTGAGTACAGACAGGAAGGTTGAAGCTTCTAATGTTATACGAAAGCAGCTCAACAGTCCTGGCTGGACCCGAAAGCAAGGGCAAGCAAAGGGAATGTGATGCCGTGAGTGGGCAACAGCCATGAACAGAAAGGAGAGTGAGGGTTGTACTCTACATGGATCTGGCCATTTGGTTACAGTTTCTAACTCTGAACATGATATACATCTATAGGCTCTTATTGGAGGTCCATACTTGATAGGGCTGTCTTGCCACCTGGAAGTGCTTACTCTGTGGAGGAGAGTTCTTCCACAGGATGCTGTGAAGCTGCTAACCAAAAGAATTTTTTTAAGTATTTTTTTAAAATAATTGTCAGTAATATACCAATAATAAAATATATTTCAGTATACTTCAGGGCAAATTTCAGCATTTGTTACAATACAGAAAACCAATAGCATATAAGTTAAATATGTCTCTTGACAATGGTGACTTTAATGGCAAGGAAGGGACTGAAGGTCATTTAAATTATAGCCTGTTCTTTACTTCGCACTTTATTCCCCCTTTTATAGGGTTTCAGAAATTTTTCATCAATTTTAAATAAAAAAAAAACCTCATTTACATTGTGTGATGTTTTGATACAAGCTTCTTGCATGCTGTCAAACAATTCCTATTTTCACAATTTATTCTTATGCAACAAGAACTCTATTATTATTAACTAATTTAGGGCTTTGTAATACTTTGGTGCATACATTAACATCATCCTCACTCTACAAATGAGAAAATATGAGCAATAGGAATTAAGGAGCTTGCTCAACCACTATAGTATTTCTACAAAAGAGCGGAGAAAGTTCTCTGTCTGGCTCTAGGGAATCTACTCCTTAGCAGGGGTCCATTGTCCAAGTGTTTGTCTCTTAAGGAGATGATCGATCAGTCATTTCATTTAAAAGTTTACAATGAAAAGACAAGGCACCTTTAAAAATTAACTATCTTTAAAATGGCAATTGCTAATTTGAGAACTTAAAGGGGATTATTTTTATATTGGATAATTTAGAATTTTGAAAACTTCTGTGCACGATTCACATTTTTGTAAATATTAAACTGCAATATGAAGCAATGTGTTTTATAAGGAAAAGAATATTAGGTATGTTTTGAATAACTTGTGATAGCTTAATCATGCTTAAATATTTGTACATAACAATCAATGAAAAAAAAAGAGTCCACAAATTCAAAACAAAGCAATGCAGATTATATGGGAGGATATGGAAGAAGGAAAGGGAAGGAGGAAATCAAGCAATTATAGTATAATCTCAAAATAAACTTAAAGCTTCCTTTCCTTATCTGACATTACTAAGGAAACAGTGTTTTCATTTAGAAATATCAGCAGTCACTAGCATATACAACCCACGGAGAAGTGGGACTGAGTAGACAAATTTCAGTTCCCAGGACCAACTGACTATATTTATTAAATAACAAAGAAACAAATACTGACATGATATATTTCACAACGTGTATGCAGATTTTTGTCAAAAGTTGGAGTGGATAAAATTTATCCTTAACTAGACACTCATACAGGCTTTGAACTGCCTTTCATTTTAGCTGTCTATATAATAATTACTTCATGTCCTCACGAAGACTTAAAATCCGTGTTATCCAATCTTTGAATGTAATGGTATCAAAGGAAAACTGTGTAAGGACATGTAACACATATTCACTTACCTTACAAAATATTCTTCTCACATGATATGACCTCATTCTGCAACCCAATAACCAGACAGAGTGTGTTACAAGTTTCCAATGCATTGTGAATGGCATTTCATAATCTACAGGGTAAGAATTGCTCTTGAATGTTGCACTGGATTCCATATTTCATCTCAGGGTAAACACAAAAGAGTACTATTTGGCCTAGATATGTTCCTTTTTATATAAAATGGACTGGAAAATTGCAACTGCTTTATTTAGAAATATTCACAAGAGAGACACTGATTATTAAGGTCATTTCTGTGACTACAGAAGTGACTTGAAAACTCATCTCATGATGAGGAACTTTATGTGGGAAGTAATTAAACTTAGCTAAAATTGGGAGAAATTGTTGATAAAGGACAAAAAATTTAAGCCTTTCAAATCAATACTTGAAGATAAAACATATATTTTCAATATAGAAGATTCTTGCCTTCCTCCACCTTCTCTTCTTCCTTGTCTCTTTCTCATCCCATTGCATGAAGCAGGAAATAAAGGGAAAGGGCAGTTTCTGTGCTGGTTAGGGCACTATCTCCTTTAATGGCACCCTCCAGAGTCAAATCCTAATGAAAGACAAACTACAAGGTCTGTAAATATCAAAACATGCTGAATGTAAATGGAGCCTTGCTTACCCTTGATGCAGTCTGGGGTTGGGGGCTTGGCCCTGCCTCAACTGAATGTACCAAGCTTTGCTGACTCCCTGTGGGAGGCCTTACCCTTTTGGAGGAGCAGATGGAAGGTAGTTCAGGGGTGGGGATGCTGGGGTGGGGAGCGGGAGGAGTGATGAGAGGCGGATCAGTGGTTGGTATGTAAAATGAATAAAAAAATTTAAAGAAAAAAATAATCACGCAGTTAAGAATAAAACAGGATAAAGATAGGATGGAAGAATGCATGTGTTTTTAAATAGTGACATCATAGTGGTTCAATAAATGTTAGTGTTATTACTGCTCATACTCTAGTTATCTGATATTGTAACAGCCTAGAAGAGAAAAGACATACACATTTCTCATGTCCTTAGTACTAGAACCACTTTCTTGAGTATTATAATAGATGTGATGAGTTAAGGAATAAAAGAGATACCAACTATGTTGAAACTAGCCAGTCTACACATATTCAATGACTACTTTATGATAAAAAGTTATCCTATGTATTGTTATGGTCTTCCATTTTTGTCATTTCCAGCAAGTCACACTCTTTAATTTCCTGTTTTATGTCCTGCAATCCAACAACTACCATTTAAAGGTTATAAAAGTATTTAAAGTATTAAAAAGTTGTAAAAATGTTTAAAACATGAAAGAAAAAAAAAGGCAAAAAACAAATTATAAAGCCACAAGAGAAATTGTATCTTGACAAATGAAAAAACTTTGTTAACAAAAAGTATGGCTCAGCACAAATGAAGTTAGGAAAATAAAGAATACTGAATGTGAAAATCTATATAGATGGACAAAAACCCAGGCATGCTCTTGTGCGTGTGTGGTCATGTTGGTAAGAATTAAAGAGTGAGACTTAGAGTTACTCCTGTTAACTTATGAGACTAGGAGGCATAGTCTCCCAGAAAAGTTCCTCTTCCTCTTGCTCCCAGAATCCCTCAACACACACCTTTTCACAATGTTCCCTTAGCCTTTGGTTGCAGGGGTGTTTTGTACACATATCCAATGTGCTGGGCTTCACAACTCTTCATTTTGATTGATTGTGGTTTTATGCAATTGTCTCTGTTGTAAAGAGAAGTCTGCCTGATGAGGGGTAAGGGGTACACTTATCTGTGGGTATAAGAGCAAATGAACAAGCAAGACACCAACCAACATGCCAAACTGGACAGAGAGAAGCTCTTGAGGCCTTCAGGCCTACACAAAGAACTAGGGCAACAAAGTGAAATTGGGAGCTGGAGAAGTGGTCCTCCACAAGGGAGAGCACACTGATTGGTTGACCAGTGATAAATGTGCACATGATGATGTACACATGCAATAACAATTATTGAAAAAAGAGGCCATGAATTTGAAGGACAGTGGGGAGGGACATATGGGAGGCTTTAGAGGGAGGAAAGGGAAGGGAGAAATGTTGTAAATAAATTACAATCTCAAAAAAAAAGAAAGAAAAACAAAACAAAACAAAATCACCAACCTCATGCATGGCTGTAACTTCTCAAGAGTGTACCAGTTGACAAACCACAATCCATTGCATACTTTTAAAGAATATTTATTTCACAGCACTGCTGTTCATGGCTGAATCCCACTGTCTACAAACAGGAAGACAGATGCACAGGAAATTGTATTTGCTATGGAACTGTTTACATCGATCATCACTTTCTTTTCATGTTACTAGGCAGTCTGGTTAGATTTTACAATTATTAAACTGTAGCTTTTAGTTTTCCAAAACAATCATTTTTTTTTCTCCTTGATCTTCCTACATCCTGACACACCCACAAAGACAAACATTTTCAAAACCATACTCACCTCTACTAGATGCATGGGAAATGTTCTGATATCTACCTTAGCTAGTCAACTGACATGCAAAGGGCTTAGTATACTTTCATTAAGTATTTAGAAATTTTGTATTTGTCGTATTTAGAAAAATATGTTTTCGTTATATGGCTTGTAATTATTCTACTTGTTGCTATAAAGTACCTGTCTAGAAACAATGTTACAGTCAACTATGATCTGGCCATGTAAAAGGCTGAAGAAATGTGGAATTCTTGTGTTTTTGTGCTTTCTTCACCTCTTAAACAGTAAAACACTTCTTTCTTGTTATTGTGATTTTTTCAATGTTAACATTAATTTTAAAATGTGGCTCCCTCTAACATATCACTGCAAAATATGATGTAAAATGGAGAGCAAAAGGAAGAATAGAAAAGGCAGGAAGCAAAGATGGGACCTGGCTCATTCAATCTTGGATATTTGTTCTATCTTGAAAAGTATCGGCCATTTCTTGCAGATATTCCTGAATCTATCATTTTTCTTGCCAAATAAATGTTTAATTATTAGCATAGATCTGCCTTAAATTTCTTTTGTACTTTCAGACTGCTCCTTTGATTACCTGTCTCCCGGCTTCCTTTTCTGATACTGTATTTTAAAGATCTGACTGCCTTGTTTAAAAGAGAAGCAAAGAGGGTTATTTAGATTAGGGCTTTCACTGTGGGTTTATTTTGGTGTGGTTTGGTACCAGATTTAATGTGAAAATGGTATTTTGGGGTGTTTGATTTGCAGAAATAACTAGCTTAAATGCTTCAGTTTCCAATGGTAATTAGATTTCAACCCAGACAGTCTGGATAACTCTGGATTTACTACCTTGTAAAGAACTATCATAACAAGCCCTTGAGCATTATTTGAAAATTAATAAACTAAAGTAGGAGGAAGCACTTCACTTTCCCATAGCAACATAGACTGAGTTATACTGTTTTATTGCAAAATTTACTTTTCAATTATAGGTTTACTAAATTAAGTGGCTTGAATAGCATAAAAACAATTATTAGTTTCTTCACACTGCAGATGACTAATGCAATGAGTCCATTTTACTGTAAAAAAAAGAAAAAGGAAAGAAACCTCTTTTCTTTAATAAATAAATAAATCCTCCCCTTTATTGCCTGAAAATAAATTCTAAGTCACAAATAATTCTTGCTTCTACTGTATTAATAGAAAGCCTTCTGTATTTAAGTGGGGTTTCTAAATTAGGTAAAAAATAACTCACCCTAAAACCTTATTTGCTAAAGTCTTTTCAAGTTTACATTTTTATTTTCTGAAAAATGAAATTTCAAGTAGAGCAGCTTAATTGCTAACTTTTGCAAATGTGCAAAAGATTTGGCAATCTGGATTGGAGCTAAATAACAATTGCCACTGATAATTATATTAAATTTAAAAGCTAAAATTGTGCATAAATTGGGTTAATTGCTCAGAAGAGAGTGAGGAAGACAAAACTACTTAACCTAATTCTCGCCATCACAGGGTGAGGTTGGAGAGCTGATGTTAGTATATCCTGATGGAGAAGAGTGCTATAGTAATCCTCTAACTACAAAGCCCAGGCAGGGGCTGTGTTATATAGCATGTAAATTTAATGGCTGACTTCATATGAATGACAGTGTGTGAGCACGTGTGTGCTTGTGAGTGTGTGAGAGTGTGTCTATGAGTGTGAATGTGTGTTGTGGAATAGAATTTGTTTAACCATGTAAAGATATATTGCATTTGTTTGTGTTGCAGAAGAATTAACTATGTAAAGACGTTTGCTGTTTTACCTTGCTTGTCTAAGGCATCTGATTGGTCTAATGAAAAGCTGAACAGCCATTAGCTAGGCACAGGAGGGATGAGCAGTCCTGGAAGACAGAGAGAAAAGGGGAGCCAGACAGACAGACTGGGAGGAAGTATGAAAGTGGGCTGGACAGTACACAGATGTGGTAAATGAGTCTCCTCAGGGCAGCATTAATAGAAATGGGATAATTTAAGAAACAAGCCCAAGCTAAGGCAGAGCATTCATAATTAATAATAAGTCTCTGTGTCATGATTTAGAGGCTAGCAGTCCAAGTAAGCCTGCTTCAAGTATGCGTGTAAGTGTGTATGTTTGTGTGTGTCATGTGTGTGTCAATGTATGTGTTTGTGTGTATATGTGCATGTGTGTGTGTGTGTGTGTGTGAGTGTTTGTGTTTTAGAACCTGGAGAAGGAGCAAGAGTCATATTCTGAAGAGATTCCAAAAGAATAATCAACAACAACACCACCACAAAAGATCAATATTTCCTCCTATATCTGTCCTCCCAGCTGAACTAAATCTCAACACATTTATTCTTTTATACTTTACAGCATGATGAAAATGAAAGGGCTTTGCCCAAATACCCATGCTTTAAATTTTAGTTCCAAAAGTTCCAAGGAATGTCATACTTGTCAAGTCCATTCTCTGATTTTTACCTTAGTTTTCTCCTTTACTAAATGAATGTGATCTTCAAGAATTGCTGCAAGAATTATATGAGTTCTTAGACATCTAAATGGTACCTAAATACCCTGGTCAGGATAGCAGAGCCTATGCCCAAGTCACTGATTTTTGGAGAAAAATCCTCATGCTTTAAACTGTTTTTATATTACTTAAGGCATGTTTCATATGTTTAAGTCTCTAAGTCCTCAAGTAATCAATTTAGTGGTAGTAAATCAAAAATGGGAAAAAGAGAGTTGAGAAAACAAGCAAAAGGAACAGAAAGTTTTACCTATTAAATAGGAAGTCTCTAAGCTGTTCAGTTTAGCGATTTTAGTTCTGAAGGCACTGAAAGTGAACAAAGGCAATGCCTAAGTACGTGTTCCTATTTCAACAGGAAAAGACGCTGACGAATGGAAAGCAATCAATAAATCAAGTCAAAATACATGGCTATGAATCATCAATATACGAGTACAACTCTCAGTGAAGAATACACAGCTAAAGGTGTGTTCATTACTGCTTGAAAACAATCAAGAGCGATGAGTCCCTGTATAATCACAGTCAGACGCTCAGCTAGTATCAAGTAAATCAGTGGAAGACATGAAAAGGTGTGAATGGATGATGTCATGTCAGTGTAGCTAGAGTTTTCTTGCCTGGCCCACAGTCAGGACAAATCTCTCTCACCTGCCAGTCCCACAGCCGTCAGACCCAACCAAGTAAACACAGAGACTTATATTGCTTACAAACTGTATGGCCGTGGCAGGCTTCTTGCTAACTGTTCTTACAGCTTAAATTAATCCATTTCCATTAATCTATACCTTGCCACGTGGCTCGTGGCTTACCGGCATCTTCACATGCGGCTTGTCATCATGGCGGCTGGCAGTGTCTCTCTGACTCAGCCTTCCACTTCCCAGTTTTTTCTCCTCCTTGTCCCGCCTATACTTCCTGCCTGGCCACTGACCAATCAGTGATTTATTTATTGACCAATCAGCAACACATTTGACATACAGACCATCCCACAGCATGTCAGTTAGAACTGCAAATATGAGTTAAAAATTTGGTGGTCCAAACACTAATTTCTGGGAGTTACTGGCGTTGGATAGTTGCTAGCGGAAGTAGAATCATTCTTATTTGAGGATGTGGCCACTGGTAATTTCCCCATGCTCACACACCCATGGAAATAAGGTCACCACTAACAGGACATATTGGTACAATAAAACCAGAAAAAAAAACCTGTAGTTTGGAGGAGGGCACATTGAGGGTGTATAACAGAGTTTGAGAGAGTAAATAGGGGGTAGATACAATCATATTTAAATGTGCATGTGTACGAAATAACAAAAATATGTAACTTAAAAAAATATGCTATAATATTACAAAAGACTAATTTGGCTTCTAAATGTATTTTGTTTGCCCTTTCTATTTTGTCACTATTATAAACATTCAAAATCTAAGGGATTTCCCCTAAAAGCAGAGATCTGTATTCTTTGGAAAATGAACTAATCCCATGGCAGCAGCATCTGTTGTTGCCAGGCAGTACATTTCTGGAAACGAACAGAACAGAGTGGCATGCTTTGTCTATTAATTCATTTCCATCTTGGGCGTCATTGATCTACAAATCCTCAGCTTTCTATTATAAAATGTTATCTTACTTTCAAACACGTGGATGGACCGCTAAAACTCTTCAGGGTGTGTCCCTTCTCGCAACACGATGAAGATCCCAGAGTAACTAACTACCAAAGATTTGCATCCTAGGCATTCTTCATATTTTGGATCAACAAAATTTCTTTGGAAAATTTAGATGGGAGAGTGATCTCTACCTACTAGATATTTTCACAATCTCTGTGACAACTAAAAATGTGCCCAGTCATTGCTAAGTAACCTAAAGAGTAACGTAATTACTGAGTGCAGAGATGTAAAGCAAAAGAAGATGACAGGCTAACATGGGAGACGTTTGGGGGGGTGCGGATCGGATACTGACAACGTCCCTGGCACTGTAGACTCTTAGTGTAGTCGCTTACACATGGCTAGTCATTTAAGTCTACTATTCCAACTTAAGCGATTTAAACTTGAGTATGATAATAATACGGTTTCCTACATCCATTGATTTTTCAAGTGGAGAAGAACAAGGAAGCCTGCTAACAACATGATGTCATACGATGCAACATTCTGCACATGGTGATCTCTGGGGAGTATTAATATGCTAGCATTTTATCCTGCCTCCTACTTACACGTTGTTCCTGGTGAATTATTTTTTGAGCACAACTAGGTTATACATTATGCAGGATCACTATTATTTATGTAAGTGAGGTTTACCACTAACATTCCAATATGGATTTCTTGATCTTACTAAGAGACCAGTAAAACTTCCAAGAATAGAAAAGCATGCCTAAAATTAAGTAATCCTTGTGGGGTACACCATAATGATGGAGTAGTAGAGCAGTGATTGAAGATTTAAATCTTAAGGGAGTCTTTAATAATAATAAACTGGATAAAATGTTATTTATAATTATAATATATGCACTTAAGTTTTATATATACATATTAGAATATCTTAAAACAGCATTAGGTTTATAACTTGATGGTAACATGTTTACCTAGTATGTAAGGGTCCTGGGTTTGATTCACATGTAAACAACCAAAATTCCCAAAATACTAAATGAATTGAACTGCCAGACCATGACAAACATTCCCATGCTTCATCTACTCACACAGTTCACTTAAAAATAGTTAGATAGCACTATGTAATACTAAAAGACATGTGTTAGTTAAACTTTACATTTGCAGAGTCAGAAAAGTAAACATAATTCAGAATGCTTCTTGGTAATCTGAAACCATTTTCCTCATGTCGATTTGTCTCCATCTCTTCCTTCTGTGAATGAAGTTACAGTCTATGTAGGTTGCCCTCTGTACCTTGTCCAATGTCAATTTTAATAGTCACATTTTGCCTTAAAGAACAGTGCAGTTCTTCCTTGGGAAGCCATGCATGGACTACTTGAATCATGTTACTTGTACCTGGTTGATTTTATCTCTTTGCTCACTATCATCAACATAGAATCATAGAAGTAAGACATTTGGTCATATATTAGAAGATGAACTTTTTTTTTTTTTTTTTTAGATTTCCTGCTGTGGATATCACTGTGTATAAATAAAATGCTGATTGGCCAGTAGCCAGACAGGAAGTATAGGCGGGACAAGCAGAGAAGAGAATTCTGGGAAGTGGAGGCTGAAGCAGGGAGACACTGTCAGGCACCATGAGGAGAAGCAACATGTTAAGATACCGGTAAGCCACAAGCCACGTGGCAACTTATAGATTAATAGAAATGGGTTAATTTAAGTATAAGAACGGTTAACAAGAAGCCTGCCATGGCCATACAGTTTGTAAGCAATATAAGCGTCTGTATGTTTGTTTTGTAAGTGGGCTGTCGGACTGCCAGGACCTGGAGAAAAAACTCTCCAGCTACAGTTTCCTAGTCCAATTTTATTTTCTATTAATTAATTTAATTTTTTTCCCAACCCAACCTGATCACAATTTCCCCTCCCTCCCTCCTCTCCTCCCAGTCCCTTCCCCCATCCTCCCCTCTCCACACCCCACCCTTCCACTCCTTCTCCTTTCTCTTGAGAAAAGTGCCAGCCTATCATGGATATCAGCCACCCACGGCATGCCGAGTTCCAGGGAGACTAGGCACCTCCTCTCCTGTTAAGGCTGGACAACGCAACCCAGTAGGAGGAAAGGGTTCAAAACGCAGGTAACAGAATCAGAGCTCCCTCTGTGAGGAGTCCTACAAGAAGGCCAAGCCACACAACTATAATCTACGTTCCTAGGGCCTATGTCAGTCCCATGCAAGTTCTCTGGTTGTCTGTTCAGTTTCTGTGGGCCCTTCTGAGCCGAGGTTAGGTGACTCTGTGGGTTTTCTTGTGGTGTCCTTGGCTCCGCTGGATCCCATAATCTTTCCTCTGTCTCTTCCATAGGATTCCCCTATGTCACCTAATGTTTGGCTGTGGTCTCCGCATCAAGTCCTGGGTGAAGTCTCTCTGATAACTGTTGGACTAGGCAATGATCTGTGAATATAGCAGAGCATCATTAGGAATCATTTCACTGACATTTTTCTCTTTTTGCCAGTCATGTTTAGCTCTACCCTAGGTCTCTGGGTTATCCAGCCTCCGGGTCCTGGCCCTTCAAGCTGTGTCAGGGTTGGGCTCCGTCTCATAGTGTGCATCTCAAGCCGGACCAGTCATTAGGTAGCCATGCCCATGACTTCAGTGCCCCCTTTGTTCCATCAATTGTAGGTCAGAGGTTATGTGGCTAGGTTGGGGGTCTCAATCCATCCACTGGAAGTCTTGCCTGGTTACAGAAGATGGCTGTTTCAGGCTCCATGTTTCCCATTGCTAGGAGTCTTAGCTAGGGTCACCATCACAGATTCCTGAGAGTTTCCATTGCACTGGGTTTCTAACTCATCCCAGAGGTGCCCCTGATTCCAATTAGAAAGATGACCACTCTTGATAGCAATTGCTTATTTTACTAAAGTATATAAAACTACAGTCTTCCATGCTAGGGGATCTCCTTACTTGAAAGTCAGCAGAAAGGATATTTCATATTTAAGGCTGAAATCAACTCCAAGCAGCAGCAACCTTAACACAGCTTCAGACTTGTACAAAAGTAATCAACTCCTCCAGTGTCTGTACGGGTAAGAGTTGATAAGCCAGAGTATCCATATCACAGGCCTTTCCTCCATCATCAAAAAAAAAAATCAAACTTTCTTTCAAACTTCCTTTGAAAAAGTGTTCTCTTAACTAAACAGCAATTGTAATTCATATTAAGCAGTGTTATAAAAGGATTTTAGACAACCAGGCAGCCTTGATTTTTTTTTTTTTGTCTACCAACATGAAATGACTCAATGTATAAAATCCATGTTTGCAAATACTTTTATATTTAATTTAATTGTTAGCACTATGCTTAGTGATATAAGGTCCTTCTAATGTATTGTGAAATTCATGGTTGCCTTGTACTTGGCTCAGAACCTCCCCAACGTAACCAAAAAAGCAAAACAATGCTAAAGTTTCTTGTTAAAAGAACTAGTTACTAAATCTTCCCGTTGCAGTGCCATACATAGACATAAGATTCGCACAGCTTAGATGTCCAAGTTGGATCAGCCAGATGTTGCACTAGAGGACAGAGACCACAAAATATAATAAATTAACATCTACTTAAACCAGTCTTGAGAATTAAGGAGAATAGCTGGAAGATGCTATATTTGAGAAATGTCATCACCCAGAAACCAGACTCTAAAATTTATGAAGAGATGATCCACAAGATAAATGTTGAACAGTTGTGATCAGAATGGACATTCTAGAAAGTCTGTCCTCCATGGATATTCTCTTAGTATGACGTTTTTGTTTGTTTGTCTGTTGTTTGTTTTTTAGTTTACTTCAATACTTTAATTCAGATTAAACACCCGAAGACAAAGCTCATCAGTTGGCTTATACAACCTTCAGTATGGCTTGACTATGAAAACTGTAGGTAGCCTTTATACCATAGAGAAAATAATAGTTTCTTCTGGAAGGTAGAGATCTGTCAGTCCACTTTATTATGAAGCAAGCTTGGAAAAGAAAATGATGTGTAAGCTAATGAAAGCACAAATAATTGCACTGGACATTTTTATGCTGCCACCAGACCTTTGGTAGGCTATATAAACTGATCTTAATTTTGTTATACTGACCCCTTAAGGCACTTCCTATTGTAAAATACTCTATTAAGAATTGGTCTACATTTGGAAAGCAATAATATTAAGTTTGTTACAGCTTTTTGCAGTTCAGGCATTAATTTAGATTGTGTAATCCTCTTATGATTTTAATGGGTAAAAGCTATTTTAAGAATTTTTGCAAGCAAAGTATATAGGTATACTTAGAAAAGAATTTCTCTTTGAGGCCCTTTAAATAAAGATATTTATGTTAAATTGATTCATGTTAAAAATGTAACACACCCAGTCAGAAAGCCTTAACAAGACAGGTTCCTCTGTAAGGTAGTATTATTATTCAACCTTGGCTCCAGAGTCTTGATTTTAAAAGCCAAGTTTGGTCTATCTCTTATGAATATGTAACAATATTTTTAGGACTGTTAAAGAATGTTATATTTTTATGGGAAAAATTAGCAAAAACAATAAACAAAGTATTTTTAAAAATCTCATTATCCTCATAATAGAATTTATCCTGAATTTATATTTTAATATGACAATATATCCTGTCAATAAAAAACAGGTTGAAAGCTAATTAGTATTCTGTTCCATGAATGTTATAATTTACTTAGTACATACGTTATTACTGAATGTTTCTAAAACTTACTGTTTTGTTTATTTTGATATTAAAATTAATGTTCCAAAGAACATTTTTCAACCTTTTGTAGAAAGGAATCTTTGGGAAATAGAATCTAAGTAAGGGTAAGGGCTCTGGACCAAGCAAGATGGTTCAGCAGATAAGGTGCTTGCTGACTATCCCTGGAACCCCATAGTAGAAGGGGAGAAGACTTCTGCAAGATGTCCCCTGACTTCCATAAATCTCTCTCTCCCTCTCTCTCTCTCTCTCTCTCTCTCTCTCTCTCTCTCTCTCTCTCTCTCTCTCTCTCTCTCTCACACACACACACACACACACACACACACACACACACACACACAGATACATGGGCACACTGTAAAACCAAAACCACAAAGAATATGGGCTCCAACACCTCACGTGAAAAGCACAGTTTCAGTAATTCCTTAAATTACAAGTGTGTCCATGCTCGTGCCCATGCCCGTGCCCGTGCCCGTGTGTGTGTGTGTGTGTGTGTGTGTGTGTGTGTGTGTGTGTGTGCATGTGCAAGCACACATGGGCACACGTGTAGCTTTAATTTTACAAAATAGAAAGAAATTCATATTAATTTAAAATTTTATATTTATGAGCTTAGAAGATGTCTCAGTGGAATAAAACACGGGTTTCTCTCACAAAAGACCTTTGTTTGATTCCTAGTGCCCACATGGTGACTCACAACCTTGTAAACTGCAGTCTCAGGGAATCTCACGCCCTCTTCTGACCTCCTCAGAAACATGAGTGTGGTGCACAGGCATACAAGCAAAACACCAATACATATAAAATAAATTTTTTTTAAAAAAAAATGTGCTGATGGACATCCAGGCTTCCACAGTGGTCACTTACGTCTATCAGCTCATTGGAGATGACGTGAAAGTAGAACGAATTGAATACAAAAAATCTTAAAGCTAGGCTTGTCTTGATCATTTTCTGTTTTGTTTTTTCATTTCCTTGTTCAAATCAATTAATTAAACACTTACGAGGCACACAGTTGTATCACTTTTATAATATTTTGCACTAAAAAGTCTTCTCTGTTTAATACATAGTTGCTCTAAGCTTCTTGTAAACTATAAGAATATACTTAGTTTGCAGTATATGATTTCTATGACAAGAAGTCCACCATACAGTACAGGGTCATGTTAGAAAAGTCTATCTTTGTAAATGTCTTCTTGGTATTTGGACTTCACTACAAAACTAGTGCATGAAGAGAAAGAGTCCAGAATTTCTGTGTGTGTTTTCTCTTCTCTGGTAATAAATGTCTACCTTCTATTTAAAAAAAAAAAAGCAAGTTTTAAAATTTATGTTTAATTACTAAAGAGCTGTATTTACCACATGGTTATTGTTTACACTCTACAAATTGGTAGTTTAAATCCTAGGCTTTTACTTTTGTTGAACTCATCTTTTTTTTCTTAGAGTTTTGTTTCACCTCTTTATAAATTAAAGAATACAAAGAATCTGCATATACTTATAAACATAATCTCCATGAAGAGAAGTATTGTTGTCTCTTCTATTCTCTGTCATATCCCTAATCCCAAATCAATCATGGCTTATCCCAAATATTGACTAAAACACCAAATGTCTTTAATGAATAAACAAACAGGAAAACAGAAATTTTTAGAAATAGAATAACAACAAACATTTTTGTAAATGACTATGATTCTTGGCCATTCAAATTTGGTGATTTCAATTACTGTACTTTAATACCCTACTCTCATTTGAGTCATGGTTATGAAAGTTAGTACATAGTATGTTTTTTTTGTATCATGGCACCTTTGAGTCTGTTTATTGATGTCGCTGAAATATTTTCATAAGCTGATCATTGTGGTGTAAGTGACTCACCACATTCATAGAGTAAATGCAAAGACAAAGGGGACAAGAATATTTTTACTTAAATCACATGCAATTCATGGAGAACACTACTCTTGGTTCTATTTAGAAAAAGAGTTGAGTAATGAATTAAAAAATCAGCATTTCTTTCTTTAAGTGATGAAAAAACCTGAGTAGGTATAGCATGTCTAATTTATTCAAATGAAAGATTTATAAATAAACACAAAGTCAATATGGCACACTCAAACCATAAATATTTAAAAGTATACTGTATTGGTAAGTGTCTAGCCTGGAAGTAGGAACAAACTACACAGCTTTGTAGCAAAACGTACTTACCACTTATCTAGAGATAGTGTACATGCTCCAGGATGAGAAGCCAATTGGTGATTCAATGCAGAGATCAGCCAGAATCTTTCTTAACCCCACCTTCTGTTCTACCAGTGCCTCCCATTAACTTCATTTACCTAGAAACCAGAGTTCCAAATAGACTGAACACATTTCTTGAAATGCGAAGCAAAGCAGGAGGGATGAATAAAGAAAACTGAGAGTAACTGACAATGGATGGTATTAATCCCTAAGTGTCCAGTGAGCAGAATTCAGAGGTCATTTGGTAAAGGGTCTTTTTGGGGGTATTAGCAGACAAATGATTTGCCAGAAGAAAGTTGAAAGAAAGTTGTTTTCCTGGAACAAACAAATTAAATGTAAGAACAGTTTAGCAGATGAGCTACATCTAGGAAAAAAAACATAATATAATGAAGAATAAAAGATTTAAAATGGACTAATGTACTTGAGCTTGAAGCATAATCTTGTGATCTCAGATTAGTAGTCAAGTATTTCTAAAACTGGGGCAAGAGCATGGGTTGTAATTGGCTCATCCCAACTCTAGTTCCACTTCTTTGTACACGATTACTGACTGAATATGTTTCTCTGGGACTGTATCACTACTTCACCACCCAAAAGTTAGTCTCTGGTAATTTTGCCTTCATAGAAGTCCTTCACACACAGCATGTTCCAGTGTTTTTTCTTTCTTATTCTACTTACTTCAACCTTTTCTTGCCTGCCAAGCTTCTGTGAAACATTGGTGATTGAAATCACACAGGATTTTTTTCCTGGGATGTATCAGTTAAGTTCAGATTTCTGTGTCATGGTAGTAACCTAAGTTACTCTTTGTCACTTCTATTAAAACTCAGCCTTTACTTATTCTCACAACCTTTCTTTAGAGTTCCCAAAGGGCTTGAACCCTACATGGCTTTTGCATCTTGCACTCAAGGGATATGTGTAAATTTCTTAGTAAATGTTTGTCAGGTCTCAGAGTCGAGACTAGAGTTCTGGTTTTCATAGTAAAAATGTAGGATGGGTGTCTGGACAAACACCAGGCATATACTCTACTCTTGGCTTCAGCTCCAGGTTACAGGGATCAGGATCGACCTAAATTATGATGTAATTGTTCACTTGCCACAAGGCTTTGAAAGAGTTCATTTTTTATTTTCCTGAAGAAAAAGAAAATAGATAAGAAGTTTGCTTAAACAAGTTATTAATTTCCATATTATTGGCACATATTAAAACTAATTGATCTTCAGTCTTGCTCTACCAAGAAAAGTTTAGTATAATTTACAATTATATAAGTTCTTTTTCCTTTAAGTGTTTGCTATTATAAAGTGAGGGATCAAGTGATATAGTTGTGGTTGAATATAATGTGAAATAAATAAGTCAATCTAATTAGTAAGTGTTTACTCAATTTTTTTTTAAGTGAAAACATTGAAATTCATGCTCATTGATTGTGAAATGTTTGACACACTATTTTTAACTATGTTCACAATATGAGTAGAACAGGTCCTAATAATGGAAGCAACAACTTCATCCTTGCCATCTAACTGAAGCTTTATATCTTTTGGCTATCGTCTTCCTATAAGGTAATCACCACTGTAAGTTTACTCTCTGTTTCTTGGGTTTGGTTATTTTTAGAGTCCATGATAAGAACATGTGGGAATAGTCTTTTCTGTTGCTTGGCTGATTCACTTGACATAATGTCCTCTGGGTTTATCAATGTTGTTGCAAATGACAGACTTCCTTACTTTTTATGAATGAATACTACTCTGATATGCATATTTACTGTATTTACTCATTCATTTGCAGATGGATGTTAATGTTGTTTCCATAATTTAGCTTTTCCAAATAGCATTGCAATCAACACAGAATTACTTGCATTATTTTAAAAATTACTAATATGATGAATGAATTAATTCTTGTAAATAAATAGACACCAAGTTTGAAGGACTAGAGAATGTAAACTAGGTCAACATGATGTCTGTTGCTGTAACTTAATTGCACTCATGAAGCACCTGTTTGTAGGTATTGGACACCTGACTTAAAATGATCTTAATTACATTGTTATCAGGTCCATGTGCTATTTTAGATGTTTTGGGTTGTATACTATGAAAATCGTGTATGATAAAGATAACTAAAACCTCCATCTTATGGAAATGAGGCTCTTAAAAAGTTAATTAAAATATCCAGGTACACTTAACTACTAAGTGCGGAATCTATGACTCATATAAATACTCTGGATCCACAGATAGATGTCGTAGTAACTAGACTATCTTCTCACAATAGTTTTCAGAAACACAGTGCATTGCTTTTCAGGGAATCTTGTGATTGGAAACAGACTACTCAACATATACATATTGCACACGTCTTTATTTTCAGGACCTATCAGGGACTATATGAAGCTCCAGAACATCAAAGAAGATAAATTTGTTCTTATTAGGGAACATATGGGCTGACGAGGAAAAATGAGGGTTAAATAAAAATAAGATACATAATGCTCAAGTGAATAAATTAATTACTACCATGACTGTAGAAATATAGAGGAGAAATGAGAACAAGGAGATTCTATTTCAATTAGACACAGCAGTTAGTCATCATAAAAGCTATCCTGGACATTAGCATCATGAACAAAAAAAAAGGAAAGGTGTTGAAGCAACATGACAACCTCTCTGTTTTTGTCTGTCTTTTCAATTTAGAAGCCTATACATCTCTTTCTTGATCATTTTGGTGCCTGTTATTTTGTAAACACGATAGCCCTAAGATATCTGAGA